TGTAGTCTTTTGCAGGAGGAACCTGGGTAACTTTAGTGGGCTGGCCATCCATTGAGCTGCTGACCACAAGGTAAGCAGGTCAAACCCACCAGCCACTCCTCAAGAGAAAGATGTATGCTGCTCCCATAAAGATGTCATCTCAGAAGCCCCAAGGGGGCACTGCTACTGTGTCCTATAGAGTCACAACGAGTCAGAATTGACTGGATGGCAACAAGGGACTTGAGTACTATTTTGCTCCCAAAATTATGGCCAAGTGGACCGATGCACCTTATTTCAAGAACCCAAGACCTAGTGGCGTGATCACCACATCTCTATAGATCAAGTTGATTCTGACTTACAGCGACCCTATATGGGATTTGCAAGGCTGTAATTCTTTAATGGAGCAAACCAACTTATCCTTCTTCCCACACAGTGGCTGGTGGGTTTGAACCACTAACCTGACAATCAGCTCACTCTACTCACTAAGGAGCCATGACCGGATTGCTAAGGATCAGCTACACCAAGTACCCTTCCACTCTTGATAAAGTGAGCTTGCCACATAATAAATTCAACACACAGATAGAAACTTGGACTTTTTCTAAGAGAACAATGACCTTGAGAAAATGGTCCAAAGAAATGTATTTGCTTTGGCTCTTTTACTGATTGACAAGAAGAACCCTTGCAGTATGAGGAATTTTACCATCTAATTCCATTCGCCATTCTGCAGAATTCTACGGTCTGTGGAAGTTCCGGAAGTGGCCCGGGGGATCGCTTCTTGGAGGCACACTGCCTGCTTCCCGCCATCCCGAGCCCAGTGCTCTTTCTGGTTTCCCTCTCATGCTCCTGAGCCAAGATGAAACGTGCACAACCGGTACCTCCGTCCTGTTCCTGGAAATGCCCAAGGCTCATTTCTATTCTCCCAGATCCATTTTTCATTATTTCTGCCAAATGGGACTGTCTCATGCATAAAAATATTTCAGTTTATAGTGCAGCGAAGCAAATTATCACTACTCAACAGCTACCACGGAATCTTATGGTATTTTCCTCTTTGAAATGCCGACTTGCAACGTGCTCATTGTTTTTCATCTTTCTTCAGATGAGTACACACTGTGAAGTACACAACCTAGTCATCGCTTGCATTTTCCAAGGCAGCCAGCAGAGGGCACTGTCGTTTTTTTAATTCATCTACCTGAGGAGAGGGGTGGGGGTGAGGGTGGGGCGTGTTTCTTTGTAATCTCACTAATTCACAACCTAGATACTGGCTAAAGGATAACGGGCCGATGTTTGGTAAGTCTGAGGCTACCCCACTTGATTTTCACAGGGGGAAACAACAGAATCCAGGCAGAGGGGGTGAACTGCCCCAGCAAACAGGAGGCGGCAGAAGCACCATTTCCTTTCTCCTTGAGACTGATTAGAAG